CATTCCACAAAGTAACAGCAATCCGATCGGGAACAATCTGCACGTTTTGGTAAATTTTTGTCTATGTAGTGTAAAAACTGTGGGAGGGCTTAGGGTGGCAAATTTGGCTATAATAAGAATAATAATATATATGTGAGAAAACAATAAGTGGTCTTGCTATGCAAGAACACTTAATAATATATATGTGAGATAACATTAAGTGGTCTTGCTATGCAAGGACACTTAATAACTAGAAAAGCTACAATTTCTGGGGAAATTGTGTGAAGTGTTCTTGCCTCCACCAGTAGTCTACAACTGGAGTGGGCGGAGTAACTGGTATCATTTATATAGCACATTTAATTGCAACGTTGTTGCACAGTTACATTAAACCATACATTTATAAAAACATTAGCAGGTGTTCAAAAGGCCCTGTCTATGACATCACTTGCTGCTGCAGCCTGACACAGGTCAGAGTATTTTGGCGGTTGCCATCTTCAAACGGTCGTATTTTAAAAACTATAAATCCTACAGCGAAGAGCTTTATATTGTGAGAATCACAAGACCCAGACCTACATTTTGATGCATAGTATGTCTCTGAAGTATTAAAAATGAAGGCACAGTCGCAGTTTAGAAACTGCACTTCAAATTTGAGCTTTGTAGAGTGAAGTTTCAATGAATGTCAATGGACGGCGTTAGATGCAAACAAATGATTATATTGTGAAAACTATCAGGACTATGGCTTAGCCGTTGTCATGTTTAGTGGCAGCAGGGATAGCTGAACGTTTTGATATAAGATTTGTGTAGGTGGGCCTGAAAATAAGGGAGTGGTGGCAGTTTAGAAATCATGTCCTGATTTTTCAGCTTTTGCCAGCTCCCACTCTAGCTTTGCCATTCATTCCTATGGGACAAATTTCGCCACAAGAACGACGATATTCCGTGAACCATTCGGCGAAACGTTCCACAAAGTAATAGCAATCCGATCTGGAACAATCTGCACATTTTGGTAAATTTTTGTCTATGTAGTGTAAAAACTGTGGGAGGAGTTAGGGTGGCAAATTTGGCTATAATAAGAATAATAATATATATGTGAGATAACATTAAGTGGTCTTGCTATGCAAGAACACTTAATATATATATATATATATATATATATATATATGTGAGATAACATTAAGTGGTCTTGCTATACAAGAACACTTAATAAGAATAAGAATAATATATATATGTGAGATTACAATAAGTGGTCTTGCTATGCAAGAACACTTAATATATATGTGAGATAACATTAAGTGGTGTTTCTATGGAAGAACACTTAATAAGAATAATATATATGTGAGATAACATTAAGTGGTCTTGCTATGCAAGAACACTTAATATATATGTGAGATAACATTAAGTGGTCTTGCTATGCAAGAACACTTAATAATAATATATATGTGAGATAACATTAAGTGGTCTTGCTATGCAAGAACACTTAATAATATATATGTGAGATAACATTAAGTGCTCTTGCTATGCAAGAACACTTAATTACATACTTACATCTGTATAATCTGGTCCTCTGTGGAGCCCAGTCTTGCAGCCCAGCCCCATCACTGGCCAACCGCCCCCTCCACACAGCCTGCGGCAGACACCAGTGTAGGAGGCTGGGCGGGCAGATGCTGGGCTCCGCGGGCGGCTGCGCTCGGCCACGCTACAATTAGTAACCGGCTGGAGAGGAGCACAGTGCGTGTCCCTCCAGCTGGACAGCCTGACATTGCGTCCCCAGGGCCGGTGCGCCCTAAGGCAGCCGGCTTATGGTAGTGCCGGCCCTGCACATTGATTAGACATGGCACAGTGATTGATTACACCTGGCACAGTGATTGATTAGACATGGCATATTGATTGATTGATTGATTACACCTGGCACATTGATTGGCCATGGCACATTGATTACACATGGCACAGTGATTGATTACACATGGCACACTGAATGATTAGACATGGCACATTGATTGATTACACATGGCACACTGAATGATTAGACATGGCACATTGATTGATTACACCTGGCACACTGATTACACAGCAGTAGCGGTATGGATATGTCAATGTGATGGCACTGTAATGTCGGAGTATAGCTGTGTACATGTGTCAGTGTCACACAGACGGTCTCTGTCCTCGCAGTTTACCTCCAGATAGTACAGGTCGAGAGGGGTGATCTGAGAGTCCAAAAAGTCTTCGTATGTATTATACTCCGTGTCCGCTCCGTCCATCCCGGCGCCGCTCGCGTCTACCTCCATCTTCAGCTTCACTTCCTCCGCGTCCCTAGCAACGGTGGGCGGGGCCAGGCAACGACAACAATCCCGGTGTAATGTGCGCAACCGGCCAATGGGAAGTTTGCTACAGGTAGCTCCTCCCACTGGAGGGAAAACCCCGCCTGCTGGCTGTCTGTGTATGACAGGCTGTGAGCGCAGTATTCTGTGTATGACGCAGGGAGGGCAGTATTCTGTGTATGACAGGCTGTGTGTGCAGTGTGTAATAACAGGCTGTGTGTGCAGTGTGTAATAACAGGCTGTGTGTGCAGTATTCTGTGTATGACGCAGGGAGGGCAGTATTCTGTGTATGACAGGCTGTGTGTGCAGTGTGTAATAATAGGCTGTGAGTGCAGTGTGTAATAGGCTGTGTGTGCAGTGTGTAATAGGCTGTGTGTGCAGTGTGTAATAGGCTGTGTGTGCAGTGTGTAATACCAGGCTGGGAGTGCAGTGTGTAATAGGCTGTGTGTGCAGTGTGTAATAACAGGCTGTGAGTGCAGTGTGTAATAGGCTGTGAGTGCAGTGTGTAATAACAGGCTGTGAGTGCAGTGTGTAATAACAGGCTGTGTGTGCAGTGTGTAATAGGCAGTGTGTGCAGTGTGTAATAATAGGCTGTGAGTGCAGTGTGTAATAGGCTGTGTGTGCAGTGTGTAATAACAGGCTGTGTGTGCAGTGTGTAATAGGCTGTGTGTGCAGTGTGTAATAACAGGCTGTGTGTGCAGTGTGTAATAATAGGCTGTGAGTGCAGTGTGTAATAGGCTGTGTGTGCAGTGTGTAATAACAGGCTGTGTGTGTAGTGTGTAATAGGCTGTGTGTGCAGTGTGTAATAACAGGCTGTGTGTGCAGTGTGTAATAGGCTGTGTGTGCAGTGTGTAATACCAGGCTGGGAGTGCAGTGTGTAATAGGCTGTGTGTGCAGTGTGTAATAACAGGCTGTGAGTGCAGTGTGTAATAGGCTGTGAGTGCAGTGTGTAATAACAGGCTGTGAGTGCAGTGTGTAATAACAGGCTGTGTGTGCAGTGTGTAATAGGCAGTGTGTGCAGTGTGTAATAATAGGCTGTGAGTGCAGTGTGTAATAGGCTGTGTGTGCAGTGTGTAATAACAGGCTGTGTGTGCAGTGTGTAATAGGCTGTGTGTGCAGTGTGTAATAACAGGCTGTGAGTGCAGTGTGTAATAACAGGCTGTGTGTGCAGTGTGTAATAATAGGCTGTGTGTGCAGTGTGTAATAACAGGCTGTGAGTGCAGTGTGTAATAGGCTGTGAGTGCAGTGTGTAATAGGCTGTGTGTGCAGTGTGTAATAATAGGCTGTGAGTGCAGTGTGTAATAATAGGCTGTGAGTGCAGTGTGTAATACCAGGCTGTGTGTGCAGTGGTAATAACAGGCTGTGTGTGCAGTGTGTAATAGGCTGTGTGTGCAGTATGTAATAATAGGCTGTGAGTGCAGTGTGTAATACCAGGCCGTGTGTGCAGTGTGTAATACCAGGCCGTGTGTGCAGTGTGTAATACCAGGCTGTGTGTGCAGTGTGTAATAACAGGCTGTGTGTGCAGTGTGTAATAGGCTGTGTGTGCAGTGTGTAATAATAGGCTGTGAGTGCAGTGTGTAATACCAGGCAGTGTGTAATAACAGGCTGTGTGTGCAGTGTGTAATACCACGCTGTGTGTGCAGTGTGTAATAACAGGCTGTGTGTGCAGTGTGTAATAACAGGCTGTGAGTGCAGTGTGTAATACCAGGCTGTGTGTGCAGTGTGTAATAACAGACAGTGAGTGCAGTTTGGGACCCTGTCAGGGTGAGACAGAAAGCAGGGTTGTCAGATGTGGAGCGCGTGTGTCACACATAGAGCTCGTGTCCCTTTACCTGGGTATTTTTTGGTATTTAGTTATTACCTTTGTGAAAATAATTTAAAAAAAAAACATATTGGAATAAAAACCATAAAAAATAACTGTGTTTGTGTGTATCCTCTGTTACTGACATGAAGGGCTCAAGAAGACAATGAACTGTAATACATTACATGCACTAGTCTTTGGAGAACTCAGCATTGTTTTTACGAAAAAATTAGGATTTTTAGAATTCAAAGTGATGTCAAATTTAACACCAAAGTGATATATCCAGATATGTCTCTGATATTTCTTGGAATTTTTATTCGGGGCATAATTTTGATTATCATGTTTACACTCTTGTACAAGTGGCTGTAGCATACATGAGAACTGAAATGGAAAAATCAATCAAAGTATTGATTATTTCTTTGTGTATCTGCCCCTGGCCAAATCAGTGAAACAATGCGTGCACGCTCCCTGAAGTAATTCACACCAGACACAGGTTCCAGGTTGTTGAATAACTTGAGGAAAGTTTATTCAGAGGGGACGGCAGGTCCCTTTTAAAGCAGAATTACATCATGAGCATTGTCAGAGATAACATGGAATAATACATCAATAATTGGTTAGGTGTTAAGTGGTTGCTCTAATGCTCTGCCTACTGTAGGTGATGTCACCGGGGCCATGAGGGTCTCCCACGGTTTCCCGGCACCATCTTGCTGCACGAGGTAGTTAGTTGGTGTTATGAAAGGAGGGGGAAGGGAGGAGGGGTTAGAAGCTTCTAGCAGCCATTTTGATTAAACATGTGTGCTTAGCTTTATAATATACCGTGAAATGAGTAAATAGACATTTTCTCTAACTAGGAAATATGTGCAGACCTTATTTCCACAACAGCCCCCCCTAAAATGGCTATTTACCATAACTACTGCTACTGTCCCTAATATGTCCCTAACTAATAATATGTCTCTAACTACCTATAGCTCATCTATCTTAGCAAGCATCGAACGCTTCACTCCGTGGGTAACCCGCAGCGGCTAGTCCACCACATCTCCACACGTGAGACTCGCCTGCCAAGACAGATGCTTTCCCTACACTGTCCCTACAGGAAAGCAGTTGTCTGTTTGAACTGATGTGCTTGAAGGGGTGTATGTGGAGTGTCATCTTCGAGGTCTGTGATGTCTTGATGCAGGAAAGTAGGGGTCACGTCATCTATAGTCTTATCTACCGCTTTCTGTAAGTACTTCTGTATGCAGGGGAGTACACAACAGGTCAGAAATAAGAAAATGATGGTCATTATAAGAACAGCTGCCCCTACCTGGAAGAGGGTCCTTTGCCAACCATTCATCCATCCAAACCATCTGTCCCAAGTGTCAGTGACTCCTGAATTTTTCTTTAGCTCGTCTGCAAGACTATCTAGCTTCTCTATGGCCATAGTCACCCTACCATTGGGCCCAGTGTTGTCTGGAATGTATGTGCAGCATGTCATGGTCTCAGGGAGGATTTTACATACACCCCCTTTCTCAGCTAAAATCATATCTAAGGCCATTCTGTTCTGAAATGTCATTTGGGTAGTGGCTTGTAATTGCTCTGCCAGGCCCTGTAGGGCATCCCTAGTGTAGTTGACAAAGCGCTGTTGATTATAGTAAATGTAGTTAATCCAATTGACATTTTTGTTAGCAGTTATCATTGGAATTAGGGATTCAAATCCTGCAGCCACTTCATCTCTTGCTTTAAATTCGTTAGGCACCCCCCTTGGCACACCTATGGCATCAATATACACATGGGGGTCAAAGCTCCCTCGGATAGGAGTCTCTCGTTTGGTTCTAGAGTGTACATGTGTGAGGTTTAACGTGTTATGACTACCATCTGGAATAATATGGATAGGCATTATGACTTTGGTTAGGGCGCACTCCCCCCACCATTGCCCAGCTAGTTGGGACCTCAATTGTTTATCACCACATAACCAATAGATATCACCGATTGTCTTTGTGTGATTCATTAGCAGTGAAACGGGTGGATCATGGTAAGTTGAGCAGTATCCTGATGGGAATTTGCCCAGATACAAACCAGTGTTCTTAGGTATTGTATAACATGTGTAGTTACCTGGGTAGATGGTGACTCCATCAGGTGGTTTTACATGTCCATGAGTGATCGGGTAAATTCTCTTCCATGATTCACATGTTGAGGAGTTGGTGATGGATTGCGCATAAAGACTCAGAACACATAATTCTACTTCAGGAGGTAAGCTCAGAGGAACTGTGCCCAGATGGGGCCTGGCTCCTCCACATACATAACAGTTAGTCTTATTGTGTGAGTTGGCATTATACCTCATCCATTCTAGCCACAAATTAGTGTCTGAGAACCCAGTCTCTACCGCCATAGTGTCTTCAAAGGTGGGGTTGGCTATAGCTACCATGTCATGTAGGGTCTTAATATGTGGTTTTAATGGGTTAACGATCATGTGAGTGGTCCCCACCCAGTCTGGGGAGGTGAGCATGTCTTGTAGGTAAAATGTCCCCAATGTATTATGTGAGCCACCTCCCTTCCAGTACATCCCCATCACATATTCCCCCGCGTCCCTTGGGCTAGGGTGTTCTATATTCAGGGTAAGTTTAATGGGAGTTGACCCTGTGGGCTTACTCAGAGTCATTCTAGAAAGTAGGGGCTTCCCGTCTTTGTCAAGTCTGTCCAGTGCAACCTGAGGTCTGTAGCCCCATGGTCTACCTGTATTCCACCCGGCAGCTTTCCATGAACTACAATGGTGTCCCCAAGCTCCTCCGGTCACACAAATGTATGGATCCTTTTTGTTAGGTATGTCTTTGTATATGGCTGCATATTGTGTCTGTGGAAATGTACAAGTAACTATGTCACAGTAATCAAAGGTGTACGTAGCTACATCAGTATTAGAAGAATTGTACCAAAAAGTGTAAACATGATTATCTTTGGTTATGGCCACTTGTTGGGCCCAAGCAAAGTGCAACAACATAAGAAAACACAAGACACATGATAAATTCATATTTCAGCAGGAACAGCCTCTTCTGGAGCAGGCACTTTTTTGCAATGTGAAGCGTGTATCCAGGAACTCTTTCCAGCTAGTTTAACTGACGTTGCTGTAATCAGGAGCACTTGATAAGGACCATCAAATCTTGGTTCTAGGGTGTGTTTCCTGAGAAACTTCTTGACCATAACCCAGTCACCAGGAAGCAGCTTGTGTGTACCTGTATTCGACTCAGGATCTGGAATAGAAGAAAACACTTGGGCATGTATTTTGGTCAAGGCATGTGAGAGGGCAGTCACATAGTCTACCATAGCATCTGACTGAATCTGAAGCTGCTGGGGAAAGTAACAACCTAACCTAGGTGCTGTACCAAACAAAATCTCATAAGGTGATAGGCTATATTTTCCCCTAGGAGTGTACCTTACACTAAACAACGCCAATGGGAGACTCTCGGGCCAGGGCATGTTAGTTTCTTGTGACATCTTAAGCATTCTGGCTTTCAAAGTGCCATTCATGCGCTCTACCTTACCACTACTCTGTGGGTGATATGGTGTGTGGAATGCAAGGGTCACCCCCAGTGCTGACCAGACTTCCCGTGTTAGCGAGGCAGTGAAGGAGGTCCCTTGGTCACTTTCAATTACTTCTGGAACTCCATAGCGGCAAACAATTTCTGTCAAAAGATACTTGGCTGTAGTCCTTGCGGTGAGATTAGTCACTGGGAAGGCCTCTGGCCATCCTGAAAACATGTCCACTATGACCAATGCATATTCATAACGTCCACTCTTCGGCATCTGAATGTGATCAATCTGGATCCTCTGGAAGGGGTATTGTGGTTTAGCTAGATGATTAGGTGCAGTCTTTATAACCTTTCCAGGATTGCATTTAGCACATATAGTACAAGATTTACAGTAATTCTGTGTTAAGGTAGTAATGCCTGGTGCTTCAAAATACTTGTCAATCAGTGAGTTCATCAGGAGTTTCGACAGGTGGGCTGGCCCATGGGCCCATTGGACCACCGCTGAGTACATACTTCTAGGTAAGCAAAACTTGAGATTGATGGTGTAAACATCATCACGGAGTACAGCTCCTTTATTCTTCCAACTTTGTTTCTCCTGGGGAGTAGCAGCAGCTTGTTGTTCCTTCAGAAGCCTAAGATCTGTAGGCAGTGTTTGCATAGTGTAGATGGGTAATGTATCTGTGGCCACTCTTCTGTCCACTTCCCATCCTTGTCGTGCTGCTTCCTTAGCTGCTTGATCAGCTAAGTGGTTGCCACGTGCTTCTTCCGTGTCTAGTCTTCCGTGGGCTTTTACTTTCAGTACTGCCACCTCTGCTGGAAGTTCCAATGCATCCATTAGTTCTGCAATGGCTGTCCCATGTTTTACTGGGGTACCGGTAGCCGTTAAAAATCCTCTGGTCTTCCAAATTAAGCCAAAATCGTGTGCTACTCCCAGAGCATATCTTGAATCCGTGTAAATATTGACACGTAGACCTTCAGACAATTTGCAGGCCACAGTCAGAGCTGTTAGCTCGGCTTCTTGAGCAGACTTAGTTGGTTGTAGGGCAGCTGCTTGTAATACTTGACATCCTGTGGTGACTGCATACCCAGTGTGATATTGTCCCTGTTCATCAGCAAATCTTGACCCATCCACAAATAGTATTTGGTCCGGGTTGAGCAATGCAGCTTCATAGACAGTTGGTAGATGTGTAGTTTCCATTTTCATTTGTTCAAAACAATCATGAGGAATGTCTAGGTCACAGTCTGTGGTGAGTGGGTCTTCACAGGCTTCTGTGTGGTACCTTGGGTACCCTGCTGTGCAGTAATTAATAGTCTTTTTATTGATCCCCGTAGAAGTCAGTTGTTCTTGGGTCATTTGGCTCCAGGTTTTGGCCATCGGGCCTAGATCTTTCCATGAGGTGTCGGGAGATCTGGTGAGAGATATGTGCGGGATAGCTGTTTCCCAATGGTGATAGAGATGTGTTACATTCTCTGGAAGGTGGACTAAGATGAGCATGGTACCTGTGAGGTCCCAGAATAGGTCAGTCAGGGTAATTTGAATTTCTTTGAGCTGGAATAGTTCTTCCTCATAGTTCATATCAGGGCCTGGAACGTCTTTAAACCACAGGGTACAGTGAAGTAGGGCCACTGACTGATCATCATGTGGAGGTGCAAGTGCAGGCAGTTGCAAATGTGCAGGCAGTTGTAAATCTGCTTGAACCTCTGGGTTGATATCCAGGCTATACCAGTGATACACAATTCCCCCCTTGGGAAGTGGCAGAAGAGTGGCTGGGTTCAGGGTAAGGCATCTCTGGAGTTTCACATTGTCAGGTAAAAGTAAGGAGGTTTGTAGACGGAGGTGGCGTTGGGAGGAAAGGTGTTTAGGTTGAACTTGTTGTAGGATAGCAGTAATGTCATGAGGGGCCAACACTGTGAGGTGATGGCCAAGAACAAAATCATTGGTCTTGTCCAGGAGGGCGCTGGCGGCAAACACCGCTCGGAGGCAAGAGGGGCTACCCCTTGCAACAGGGTCAAGCATGCAGGAAAAATAGCCAATAGGCCGTTGTCTTGACCCATGTTTCTGGGTAAGGACTCCGGAAGCATGTCCTGATTTTTCAGAGACAAACAAATTGAAAGGAAGTTGGTAGTTGGGTAGGCCCAAAGCAGGTGCAGAAGCGATAGCTCTTTTCAGACTGTGGAAACAGGTGATAGTTTCTTCAGTGAGGTGAAAGGGCTCACTCCTGAGGGCATCATAGAGTGGCTGCATGAGTTTTGATGCTTCGGGTATCCAGGACTTGCAGTATGTGGTGAGGCCCAGGAAGGCATGAAGAGTCTGATGTGTTGCAGGTAATGGGAGTTGCAGTATAGCTTGCACCCGTTGTGAGGTTAGATGTTTGGTGCCATGGGAAAGGCAATGTCCCAAGAAGACCACAGATGGCCGGCACCATTGTAGCTTGGATTTGGAGGCTTTGCAACCAGCTGCAGCGAGGAAACATAGGAGATCTTCTGAGTCACGCTCTGCAATAAGCAAATTAGGAGCACAGAGAAGGAGATCATCAACATATTGAAGTAAAACAACATCCAGATGAGATTTCTGCCAGGGGTCCAAAACCGAAGACATGGCATGTGCAAACTGTGTGG